TCGACGTGCAAATTTGAAATAAATTTGTTCAATGTTCCTCTTTAATGATTGATGAAAAAAGCCCTGTTCTGTTCAGGCTTCTCTTGAACTTAAAAGATCCAGTCTCACAAGCAATGTATACATGTATGTATATTATGTGTGTATACATATATATCTATATAACTATATATATGTATATATGTGAACATTCTTTTCTTATAACATCTTAGTTTTTTAAATGTACAAAATTGTGTGTACGTGCATACAGGAGCAATAGAGATTTTTTTTTTTTCCTTGGCAAATATTTTATGAAAAGTAAAGGATTTTTTTTATACGTGAATTAGGTTTAAAATAAAAATAATCGCTATTAATTTAAAATAAATTAATTATTTTTGTTATATCTATTAAATAATTATTTACAGTTATAATTTTTACACTTACATAAAAATAAAATATCCACATTAAACTAAAAAATAAGAAATTTTTTTCATTTTTGTTTGAATAAATAGAATTGTTTCAAAAAGTAGTTATAAAATTAAACATTAAACTAAATAAAAACGAAAATATAATTATAAAAATATGACTACTAGTTATAAATTACTATATAGTATTTTTCTTTGAGTAATTAATAATTGTCTAAACATTATTTATGTATGTATGAGTTATTAATACATTATCTTATTTTTATTTTATTCTATATTTTGCATCGTAAAAATATAAATTTCAATCTCGTGCAATACTTCAACTACATGATAAATTTATTATTATTTTTTGAAATGACACGATAAAGTTATTTTAATAATATTGTGTAATAATTTTTTTTTTTTTCTACAGACCCAGTAATTACTGCATTAAGTTAATTATTATATGATATTAATTAGTGAATATCTCATTCTCACCCTGTCCATGTGAATGTGTATAACATTATATAGAAAGTTTGCTCTTTAACACATAAGCTTTCATATATAAATATATATATATATATATGTGTGTGTGTGTGTGTTTGGTCCAGGTATATTTTATTTATATGTACTTTTTAAATTTTAATAATTTAATAGGTAACATTAATTATAATTTATATACTAACACGTTCAATAAATAAATTATAAAAATAACTCATTTGAATTATAAATAAAAATATTATTTTTGTTAAAATTTTAATCATATTCATATTTTATTTTTATAATTTATAAATTTTAATTAAATATAAAATTAATATAATATGTTGAGTTTTATAAATTTTTATACATCATGAAACAGTCCTATAATCATGCATATGATTCTTTTGATAATCAAGCTTCACTAGTAATTATTGACTCTCAAAAAGGAAAAAAAAAATTGTAATAAAAAGAAAAAAGAATTCATTAATTATTATAAAATGGTCAAAATATTTTATAAGTTCGTGTAAAATTTGATTTTTACATTTAAAAACTTTTATATTATTTTTTAATCTATTTTAATTTTATATTTTTAAATTTTTACTCTATTAATCTTTAGTCTTAATTACTATTAAAAAACCGACACAAAACTAATAATATGTCAAAAGCATGATACATAAGTGATGATGTGATGTATGACGTAATAATCACGTCAAATTAAAAAAATTCAGAATTCCATCTAGCCCACCAATTTGTTCCTTTTTTTTGTCATCTTTTTCTTTTAGCTCCTGTACTATTTAATATATATATTTTTATTTAAATCCTTATATTATTATTATTTTTTTTTTTATCTAACCTCTTACTCTAATAAAGAAACTTTAATATAAAATATTTATTCTTTATAAGATTAAATACTACTAATAATAATAAACTAATACTTATATCATTTTTAAAAGCCTAGGGTGATACTCTCTTAAATCATGTAATTTAGATCCGTTATATCTAATTCTCAATTCTAATTTTTTCATACTTATATGACCTAATTTTTTTCTATTTAATTTTTGGAAGTCAATAAGGAAGATCTAGTGATGCGTCATTGCTCTTATTGCAGCAATAATTGGCACAACCTTGGGGTCGAGCTCTTCGAGTCCAATTGATTAGTAAACACCAATATGGGCAATCTCAATCATTATGCCAAGTTGGCTTTTGGTGCTCCTAACGAAAATGGATCGAATAACTCTAGCTTGTCTGGGATGGTTCAAATTACGATGACGATTACACTTGCGAGATCTTATTTCAAGTTATTAGTTGAGTTATGAGCGAAATAAAAATGTTTCATGGATAGAAGGTGAGCACAAGATATTCCCACTTAGATTGCAAAAGCTTGGCAAAGGTAATTAATGTAGAATCTCACACAATTATGTTACATCAAGACACTCATCCATTCGGCTAATCATACTAAAAAATATTCATTTAATAAATTAATGTCTATGAGAAAAAAATATTCGAAGTTATTTT